AAAAAAAAAAAAAATCATGACCAAAAATGTTTAACAAATATGTTTTACATTCAGTAAGATAATCTTTGACATGGAAGAAAGTAAAGAAGTGAACTGAAGGCCAAATAAATAAAAGCACTTTAAAAAAAACAACAACAACAACACATAAATAAAAACACTTATTTATTCCAAACAAATGCTAATTTATAACACAAAAAACTCAAAATATCTAGATTATTTATTAAAATTTTGGTGCATCATTAGCATGTACTGTATATTATAATCACAATCAAAAACCAACATAAAATCACTGAAACCCACATATAATGTCCAACAAGAGCTTATCGACTGTTATAGACATAAATGTGAAAATGTTATTTTCGATGCAGTGAGGAGGCTACCACAAATAACCACAGAGCCTGCTGGCACGAGGCACTCGAAACTCAAAAACAAAGCACTACCCAGCAGCTTGACTTACATCCAACCACATATCTAGACTTTCTGTTCACCACTTATGAAGCACTGTTTTTCAGTAACTGCAGAAGAACAGACTGAACTGGGGCCAGCTGGCACGAAATCAAAGCCAAATAACCCACAGAGCAGATCTGTCCTATACCGAGACGGCTGCTGCCACCTTCAGGTTTACAAATGACATGGAGAAACGTTTCATGTCTTTTTACCATTCAAATGGACTAAGAAATGAATCAGCAAGTTATAATGCGGATCATGCAACCAAAAAGCTTAAGCAATTATCGAAGGCAAAACAGAAAACCGTTTTAATGCAGTAATACACAATAGGTTTCATCACCCAAAGAGTGACGTGAGATGAGTCACGCATTCTTCAAATGCGATGCAATGCGTGCATTATCTAAAAAAAAGTGTCATGCTGAGGGAAGGCACCCTGAGGCATGCCCAAGCATCACCCGATTAGTAACCGTTCAGTCCTTCACTGTAATGAGCTTATAAACCTTATATATCTTTGCATTCTGTATACATTCAGGGATAGTTAGTTTCTGTTTCCCTCTAAGATACAATCTTAAAAAAAACATTCTAAATGAAAAGTCCACACCACAGCTATAACGATAACGACACAGAAGAACAATATTGGAATCAATTTCAGAACGATTTTTTCAAGCTGAAAAATTGACAGACAATTGGAATCAATCCTGGTTTAAAAAGCTCAAGGCGGAAGACAACAAAACTGCAATGCATGCTTAACATAATCAGAACATTATCATGTGTTGGTGTGGACAGAAATTTAATCAGCATCATACTTCTCATTCGTGGTGTTAACGTGCCTTAAACCATTAGCTATGTTCCCATCACCGTTTTTATGCGCATTTTAAAGTATCGCATCAGAAATGAGTGAAAGATATGCCAAATTTCAGGAAAAAATTCCCTTAGTTCATAAAGAATTATTTTTTTACGCTTGCTTGAGGTAGTTGTGCAAAAAAAAAAAAAAAAAGGAGTTAATGCGAATTGGGAGATGGAAATGCACTTGCTATCAGTACTAGAGAAATTAAGAAAACACACATACATTTATTTTTGCTATATATACACATTATCTTGCCAATTCTATCTCACCAGTCGCCAGCTGTTTTTATATGCAATGACATTCAAACATTTGTCCATGATGCATTTTTGCTATTCGCAATTCAGAAGCGAGATCGCGCTCGTGCGGAGCTTCAGCACGCGCAACATGAAAGCCCTGCTTAATTATGATAGAGGAGAGAACTAAACATTCAAAGGTCTGCTTACACTTTAGGCCTGTGGCTGTTTTATTAAGCTAATTACATTTTTTTATTTCGATTTTGGCTTTTAAATGGGTCATATGACGCTGCTAAAAAGAACATTATTTTGTGTATTTGGTGTAATGAAATGTGTTTATGCGTTTTAAAGTAAAAAAAAAAAAAAACATTATTTTCTACATACTGTACATTGTTGTTTCTCCTCTATGCCCCGCCTTTTTGAAATGCGTCGATTTTTACAAAGCTCATCGGTCTGAAAAGTGAGGTGTGCTGTGATTGGCCAGCTATCCAATGCGTTGTGATTGGCCGAATACCTCAAGCGTGTGACGAACATGTTACACCCCTCACATACTGTTGATGCCGACATGCCGTGTCCCGGTCGGAGCGACGAGACAAAAACATGAAAACCCATTATAAACGAGGCATTTGTTGCATCCAGTGGGGACATAATTACTGATTATAATGACTTGTACTGTCTTTGTACGCGTTGCATTGCATGGCGCCGCGTAAACATAAAACTCTGTCTGCATTTGTGATCAGAGAAATGACAAACAACAAGCGCTACTCTACTGCCCAAAACTCGCGTTTGAATCATCAATGGCAAATCCTTTAAATTAAAACGTACTGGCGTGAGTCAGAACTGCCGGCATTTTAGTCTAACGTTACTCTCCCAGGATCAGTAAACAGTCCTCCATAAAATGTGCTGCACACATCTGGATATTTGGGTTAAACTGTTCTGGAACAGCATTGTAAATACAACTTAACCACTGATTTGTAGCAGAAGCACACAGCATCTTCACGACATGGCTGCAGCGTCAACAATACTACAGCGAAAATAAAAGTTACGCCTTCTTTCTTTGTGTGAACATTTGGACGGCGTTATGAAAATCTTCCCACATAGTGAGGTAGATATGTGGGGGCGTGTTAGAACAAGGCGTTTTAGGTAGGCGTGAATATCTCTTTGGATTTGAGACTTTAGTCTTTGCAACTTTACAGATCTTCTTTATGCACCAAGAGCTTGTAACACTCCAAAGAGAAAGGAAAAATTGAAATCGCATCATATGACCCCTTTAAGGATTATAGCCGCACTTCTTCTAGCGCAACTTTTTTCCCTTCACAGCGGTGTGCATTCGTTCCTCCCTAAAACCCAAACTTAAAGTCAGAATCAGCACAATCGGTGATTGTTGAAAAAAGGCCGTCTTACACTGTTGCTAAATTGCGGGACATGTTTGATAATAAAATGTTGAAAGCACAATCCGCACAAGAGATGCTGTTCCTCAGGCTGAAATGTGTGCGCGCGGCACGCTCCAAAACGGACAAACAAATGACACTTTGAGCTTCGGGCACGTCCAAACAATCAAATACACACAAAATATGTCCAAATGGCCGGCTTGGAGAATATTTACTTAAACACATTTTATGTCTTAAGTGGACGAGAACAGTTGGGAGAAAATCCGATGTGTGTCAATATATTGTCTTAAAGTGACAGACTGGCGCTTGGGCCATTAGTTAATCAAACAACAAAATGCAGACAAAATCACTCACAGCTCTTAATCTGAATTACATAGCTTTAATAAGCATTAATATATCAATACATACAGTGAAAACTGTAATTACTTAATTTACTTGTAATAC